GTAATGTAAAGTAGGCATGGATGGTGTAATCAAGACCTTCTAGTTTTTAATAGTAGTAAACTAGGCACTGGCGTACCTAAGTGAAAAAAATTAATTTTAATTATTGAAGTATAATCAATACTGTCTATTTATTTATAATAAAAAGGGTTTTTTATTGTAAACTACCGACCATCGCCTACTTTAAAACCTCTCTTGGTACTTTGCCTCACGCCTTCTTTAAACCTATGAACACTTTATAAAGTTTTGTTATCTTCTCTTTTTACTTTTCTAGTCGTTTCCTTTCCAGACATAAATCAGTATTGACTTTTAGTTACCAATGTGTCACTTTTTATTATTTTATCTATTAACTTTTTCCAAATCTTTATATTATGACTCATAAGTTTTATGCTTCTGTAATTTCCAAATTTCTGTATGTCTCAATTTGTTTTAAATACGTGTACATGTTGCTATATAAATCATTTCTAAAAAAATGATTGTTAGTTTCTCCTGAATTAACAATGGATTTTTACAATTTTNAAACAACTTCCCAATGGTGTTCACTAGACTCAGTGGCCTGTAGGAAGACAGTAGATCTAGCGGCTTGTCCTTTTTCCTGATCAGTATCAGTCTGGATTCTTTCCATTTATCTGGAAAGCACCCCCTTCTGAGGCAATTATTACAAACTTCTGCCACTTCTTTCGGTTTCTTGGTACATAACGCCTTTAATATGAAGTCCGGAATGCCGTCCGGGCCGGGCGCTTTATTCGATGGTAGAGCTTGTGCAATTTCTTTGATCTCGCTTTCTGACACTTCCTCTATTTCAGCTTGATCCTCACATATATGCCAATCGACCATCGGTCTGACGGGGAAAAGTCCCCGTAGAATGCTCTGTAACCGGCCTGGCAATGTCAGTCCAGGTATAGGTCTTCTACCAACCATTTTCTTCATAACTATACGGTACGGAATACCCCAAGGACGATCCTCCACCGTCTCGCACAGCTTTTTCCAGCTCTCCTCCTGACTCTTCCTGATAGCTATCCTAAGATTTTTTAGAGCCCCTTAGCTGCAATTTGTAGATACCTGCACTCGTCTTGACCCCTGCGCTTTCTCACCCTTTGGTAAGTCCTCATGGCAATGAATGGCGGTGGCTGTTGTACAGTGAACATGTGTTTATGCGTCGCTCCGCTGTGTTTCTATTATTACTAGCGTTCTAGTTAACAGTTTTTTGAAATTAAAATTTTGAAACGTGCTAAAAAGTGCGCGTTCGGACCGGTGTCGTTTTCGAGTCGGTCCGACCAAAATTGAACGTGTTACACGTAATTAACTATTACTGAGTTTGGCACAGGCTACGTAATATGTAAGTATTACAAACACGTGGTTTTAGAATAGAGCCGACGGCCACGCCAACGGCCTACTGGTGGCATCCATATTCGTGTGTGTGTTAGTTGTACCATTTCTAGGTAAGCCCTGGTGGTACAACAGTACGGCGTTCGCTATAACGTACGCGGAGTATTTGGACTTAGTCGATTTTTCTTAGCTACCCCACCCCCCGGAAGCTTAGAAAGTGCATAGCACATTCAATATACCTTCGACATCGACCGGACCGGTGGCAAACATCCAGTGGGCTGCTGGCGAATCACCACCAGAAAGTGGGATTTGACCCCCCCACCTCACTTTTTGAGTTAGCTCTATCTCGGTTGGTATTGGAGCTAGGAAGTTGGTTTTTTCGGAAAAAATTTTGTTTTCGGATTCTCTAGGAGGTACGCCCTCACTTCGTAGTGATAAAATCCCTTTCTAGGGATTTTCCCCAATTTTGGGCCGATTGGCCCTAAATTTGGTGGACACCTCAGGTGTACACTTTTACCACGGAGTGACAATTCTAGTGGAAATCTGACGTCTTAGAAGGGTAATACGGGCTTTAGAGGCAGCCCACACTCTTTGGGGACGAACAAACGAAATGGAGCTAAGTCAGGGGAGAGAAAATAGGTCTGAGCACGATCTGATTACGCTGACGATGACTTCGGATTCGGCAATGGAAATTGATCGGGGCACAGCGAGGAAAGCTACTGGAAGTGGGGGTGATGGTGTTGCTCCGATGGACGTGGTTATTGACAGACTGGTGGAGTCGCAAGTGAAGAAACAAAGGATTAGATGGGTGGATAGCCTGGAGAGTGATACGTTGGAAAACGCAACCACCCTATTGAGGGAATTAGCGAGTGATAAAAAAGGGAACTGGATACATTGGGTAGGAGAATTGAGGAAATAAGAAACTTCCTTAAACTACCTGAAGCGAGGACCGTACACAGCAAGATTAAAACTGGTATAGGGAATATTACTTTGTGTTACTCAAAGGTAAAGGAAACCAGGGATCTTGCAGACAAGACTAGAAAAGTTTGGCAAAGAAAAATCATGGAAGGGTTGGATAACACTGTGGTGCAGGAAGGAGTGCCCGCTGAAGGGAAATTAGACAAAATATTGGATTCTTTGGAGGAGTTGAAATCTACTATGAAGGTGCACACTTTGCATAGGGAAGACGGACACTTGGATGGTCAGATAAAAGCAGCCATGACCAGTGGCAGGGAGAAACAGCCTCTTGGACACGGATTACAAGTTATTAGCAGGTCAGCGGCAGAGGCGGCCGGGAGGAATCCTGAAATGAGCAAATCGAAGCCAGTAAGGCACAAACAACCTGCAGTGATGGTGAAAACAGGAACCATGTCATACATAGAAGCCCTGAAGAAGGTGAGAGCTGCCCCGGCACTCAAAGAATATAAGGAGGAAATTGTATCGATGCGGAAGTCGGAGGCGGGCCACCTGTTAGTAGTGATGAACAGGGGCTCGACCAACCTAGGAAGTATTAATGAGGTGTTGAGTCAAGCTGTAGGCGACAGCGGCAGTGTATCCACGCTCAAACAAACAGCTAGAGTAGGAATTTTTGGTCTCGACGGGGTGACGACAATGGAGGAGGTAGCGGAAGAGTTTACGCTGGCAACTGGATCAATTGGGGAAGTTAAAGTATCACTGAGGGACACAACTAGGGGTCAAAAAATGGCCATAGTGACAGTTGGAGTCGAAGCGGCTAATAAAGCTGCTGAAATTGGCCGCATTAGAGTAGGATATGTGTATTACAAGATGCTTCTTTGGAAGGACAACAAACGGTGCTTCCGTTGCTTTGCGGGAGGCCACGAAACACGAGAATGTCAAGGGGTAGATAGATCCAAGTGCTGCCGAGGGTGTGGACAATTAGGTCATTTTGTTAAAGAATGTCGGGAGTCCACTGGATTTCGGGAGGTGTTCCAGGAGCTATTGTGGAAGGAGAGCCATACGATCGTCCAATGATCAAAATTTTGCAAATAAATCTAGGGAGGGGTAGAGTAGCGCAAGATCTGATGCTACACACAGTGGCGGAACGACAAATGCAAGTAGCGATAATAAGCGAACAGTACAGAAATGCTGGTGAAGATAGAGGGTGGTATAGCGACACATCTAACAGATCAGCTATATACATTGGTCATGGAGCGGCGGTACAGGAGGTAAGTCCCGCAGAAGATGGATTCAGATGGGTGGAAATGCAGGGTGTCAGAATTTACAGTGTATATTGTTCACCGAATGTATTGATAGAGGAGTTCATATTGCTGTTGGACAAAATAACAGAGAGCGTGAGGGACGCTGGTAAGCGGGTGGTCTTGGCTGGTGATTTTAATGCTAAGAGACCGGAATCGTCAGATCCCAGAGGGAATGTTTTGGCGGACGTCATATCGTCCTTGAATCTCGTGGTCTGCAACGAGGGGAGAAAGCCAACTTTTGTGAGGGCGCCGCAGGAATCCATCTTAGATGTCACTTTGGTATCAAGAGAGCTGCGGCACAAAACCACAAATTGGGCAGTTTTGGACATAGAGACGGCGAGCGATCATAGATATATTCAGTTTGACTTAGCGGCAAGAGAACCGAGATCGGATCGGCCGCAGGTTACGGGTTGGAGTTGGAGAAAATTCAACCAGGAGCAGCTCGATATTTTTCTAGAGAATAGCTACTCTGCTGACTATAGTAGCGAGGGTATTGCAGCAGGTTCTCACGAAGCGCTAACCAGTTACCTAAAAGCGGCTTGTGACTCATCTATGCCACGTAAGTCCTACCATGGAGGCAAAAGACCGGCGCATTGGTGGACTCAGGAGATAGCGGAACTGCGCAAAGAGTCATTCATTGCCAGGAGGACTTACCAAAGGGAAGTTTTTTACTTTGGTCTTTTTTNGTGAGAAAGCGCAGGGGTCAAGACGAGTGCAGGTATCTACAAATTGCAGCTAAGGAGGCTCTAAAAAATCTTAGGATAGCTATCAGGAAGAGTCAGGAGGAGAGCTGGAAAAAGCTGTGCGAGACGGTGGAGGATCGTCCTTGGGGTATTCCGTACCGTATAGTTATGAAGAAAATGGTTGGTAGAAGACCTATACCTGGACTGACATTGCCAGGCCGGTTACAGAGCATTCTACGGGGACTTTTCCCCGTCAGACCGATGGTCGATTGGCATATATGTGAGGATCAAGCTGAAATAGAGGAAGTGTCAGAAAGCGAGATCAAAGAAATTGCACAAGCTCTACCATCGAATAAAGCGCCCGGCCCGGACGGCATTCCGGACTTCATATTAAAGGCGTTATGTACCAAGAAACCGAAAGAAGTGGCAGAAGTTTTTAATAATTGCCTCAGAAGGGGGTGCTTTCCAGATAAATGGAAAGAATCCAGACTGGTACTGATCAGGAAAAAGGACAAACCGCTAGATCTACCGTCTTCCTACAGGCCACTGAGTCTAGTGAACACCATTGGGAAGTTGTTTGAAAGGGTGTTGAAGAGACGACTGGAGAAGCACCTCGCGCAACCTTCATTCCAAATCTCGGAAAACCAGTTTGGATTCATGAGGAGGAGATCAACTATCGACGCCCTGGAGAGGGTGAAGGATATAGTCCACGCGGCGAATGATGGCCCGCTGAGACGGAGGAAACTATGTGGTTTGGTGTCATTGGATATTGCGAATGCATTCAATTCCGCCCCATGGGAGAAGATAGGAGAAGCTCTAGGAAGGAAGAAAGTACCCTCATACCTGAGGATAGTGTTACGGGAGTACTTTAGGGACAGAAAACTCCACACGGACGAGGGGAAATTGGATGTGTTGTGCGGTGTCCCCCAAGGATCCACTATTGGACCATTGCTGTGGAACATTTTCTACGATGAGATACTGGGCATAGCATTGCCGGAAGGTTTTCACATGGTGGCGTTTGCAGACGACCTTGCCATCATAGGCACTGCCTCCAGTAGTTCTATGTTGGAAGAAGAGATGAACTTTGTACTATTATGCGTAAGCAGATGGATGGTGAGTAACGGATTGCGGCTTTCTTGTGGCAAGACGGAGGCGATTATGCTAACTAAGAAGCGAGGATACATTAGACCGAATTTCACAATACAGGGGCACCAGATAGCGATAAAGAAACATATTGTGTACCTGGGAGTGGTGCTCAGTGCAAATCTAGGTTACAAGGAACACATCACAAGGAAGAGAGCAAAAGCGCTGGTTACCGCTTCTGCCTTGGCGAGGCTGATGCCGAACATAAGGGGACCCAGTCCGGATAGGAGGAGGCTGCTAGCATCCGTGGTCAATAGTCTGCTGCTCTATGCGGCCCCTATATGGAGCCCCTCTTTGGTGTACACAAACCACAGGCAATTACTCCTGAGCCCGCAGCGTGCCATCGCATTAAGAGTGGTCAGTGCCTACAGGACAGTGTCGACGGAGGCGATTATGGTGGTGGCCGGGGTAACACCAGCACACTTACTTGCCCGCAGCCGGAGCAGGTTGAGGCAAGCAGAACGTTCAGGGGAGGCATATCTTACGCAAACGATGCAAGAGGACGTCATGGAATGGTGGCAGGCTGAATGGGATAGTGGAGGCTCTGGTGCATGGACGAGGCGTATCATTCCGAACGTTAGGCAATGGGTGGAACGTAAACACGGAGCGGTTGATTTCCACATGACTCAGTTCTTATCGGGTCATGGATGTTTTCAGAACTACCTCTACAAGTATAAGAGAGTGGGCAGTCCAAAGTGCGTGTCCTGTGGGGCACAATTCGACACTGCAGAACACACGTTCTTCCAGTGTGGGCGCTGGTGTAGGGAGCTTATGACTTTGGAAGCATACCTGAATGCACAAGTCACACCGGAGAGCATGGTTCGAATCATGCTGAGGAGCAGACAGGATTGGGATCTGGTAAGGACATACGTGGAGAACATACTGGTGACAAAAGAGTGCGAGGAAAGGCGGAGGCAGGGTACGTGACTCGAAGGTGGCGGTCTGGTGAGACGACCTAAGAAGATAAATGGACAGATCAGGGAGCAGGGCTCAAAACTGTATATTTGTAATGTAAATAATGTACATAAATAATGTACAGTAGAATTAAGATAATAAATGTAGCAAAATAAGAATGTTTAGTATTAGAATAGATTAAAAACATAGCAAATGTAAAAGGAGTTATTAAAATAAATAAACGATGGCATCTCGGGGGAAAGCAAAGCAAAGGCAGTACTCCCCCCTGATGTCGATTCAAAGATAAAAAAAAAAAAAAAAACACAATTAAATTATAATACTGAATAATGTTAATATGANTTCTGTATTGTTAGTTGGTGTATTTATAAATACACTCACAACATTATGCCTTATATGCAACTATATTTTAAGCATGTCAGTTGATAGTCATAATTGACAATAAATGCTCCATGATCATAGACATGGAGCATTATGACAGCATAAAATACCAATTAGCTACCTGTATTTGTAATCTCTTATATATATATATATTAATAAAAAAAATTGTAACTTTAAAGTTTTACAACTAATAAATTAATAAAGTTATGTTAAAAATTTGAATGAAATATACTATTAAATTATATATATATATATATTTATAATTACATAAAAGTAGAACAGATTTAACTAATAACTCATATAACTTAAGATCTACATAACATTTTATACTTTTTAGCTTCGATGCGAAGCTAAGAAGGTATTAATTTTACTAGAATGTGTTTTTTTTTGTATGTCTGTCACTCAATATTAGCTCTCACTGGACCGAATTTTATGAATAATACGTCAAAAGATCACAAACTGTACCTAGTCGAAGACATTACCCTTAAAGTTTGAAAAAAATTACCTTGTTCCCCGTTAATGGGGAAAATCTCCCAAAAAATTACAGTTTTACAAATTGGTAAATTTTAACATTTTTTTCAATTTTTTTTTTTTTATATAGATACCTTAGGTATTTCACTATCATTTGATATATTTTTGTGAACATTTGACACTTTACCTGCACATAGGGTAGGATTTCAATAAGGCAACTTTTTCATAAAAAATTAACTTTTTCAACTTAACTTTTGAAAGTGTTCCGGAAAGACTGACACTTTTATATATGACTTAAATTAAAGTTATTGTAATATACTTAATCATGGAAAAAAATTTAGGACTTTATTTTATCTTCATGGTGAAAATGGCTACCAAATGCTACTTTTATGTGAAAATTCTCGGTTTTACATTTTTAACTTTATAATGCTATAACTTATTCATAAGTCTATGGATCAATACAATTTTTTTATAAGAAATAATATTTATATCCATCTTTCTTTCGATATACTTTATCTTAATCAGGATATAAATAAGGAAATAGCAATCATGTAACTTTTGGAATAATCCACCAATTTTTTTAAAATTAAACACTATCTAAAGATTTGCATCAAAGCGTTTTTTATGATAGTGATTTTAATCACTGTCAGATATGATTATACTTCACCCAACTATGGCACGTTACTACTGTGGTGTGATCCCCCTGTGCTGGGTATTTTTTTAAATCAATTTTTGCATTCTAGGTGTATATTTAAGATTTTTTTTATTTTTTTTCGCAATTACAAAAATATTTTTTTTTTGATATTTAAATATCTCCATTTTATAGATAAAATTTACGGAAAAATTTGATACCAAAAACTTTTATATTATTTCAGTAGTTATGTTCATATAGCATTTTAAAATTTGTTATGATTTTTCTATGGTATCAAATGTTAGTCCATATATGTAGAAGACGCAAATATTTTCAATTTACATTATTTACTAGCGACAGTACTTGATTTATTTTCCATAAAAGTAGTAACGTTTGAACAAGAGCTTTTTACAGAAATGATTATTTTATTACAAAATCTTAAAAACATTTTCATATGTGAACTACATGTGTTTCATGTTTGGCCAAGGTTTTGGTTGATACCAAAAACTCTTCTTTGGTTTTTTTTTAAATTTAGAAATCTTAAAAAAAAATTAATTTTTTAAAATAATTTTTTGTAATTGCGAAAAATAACAAAACATATTTTAAATGCAGTCTTATATTATGATAATTGGTTCAAAAAAGTATAAAATGTATATTATAAGTTATATGAGTTCTTAGTTAGGATCTGTTACAACTTGTATATTAGGGTGGTCCTAATTTTTCGAATTTCTTTCGGGATACCCATCCATTTTTTTCTTTAGTATAAAAAAATAATATTCTGAAAATTTTAAATCATTTGGAAAAATTTTGACCTCGAATTTTTGAAGAATATTTTATAAAACCTATATCAGAGGTTATCGAGTAATTTTTTCAATAAAAGTCTAAACACAAAAAAAAAACGTTATGTAAAAACAAATATTTTTATATATTATTTTTAATTATTTAATGAATTTTTTACATGTGATAACAATATATTTATAACAGAAAAATAATTAAACAGCTTATTTTTTATACTCTATTATTTTAAAAGTTTCAACACTTCATTACAACCTTTTCAAATGTTTCAAAAATTTGAAACTTTAAATGTTTATATCTAATAAACAAATTAAGTTTCATTAAAAATTCAAATGCCATTTACTATTGAATTAAAAACTCAAACATTTTATTAAATTAAAAATATGTGTTACCATTTAAAAAAACAAAGTTGACACCCTTACCAGGCATAAGGGATGAACTTAAAAAGTATTACATAGTTAATAATTCAAGAATAATGTGTAACTAAAGATANTAAAATAAAAATATGTGAAAAAATGTATATGTATAAATATTATTTTATTTATTATAGTTAAAAAAATAATAATGTTCAAAAAAATATAATTTTTAATTTAAGTAGACAAATATAGATCGTTGAAGTGCTAAACACCTGAAACTATGTTCATTTTTTAATTATCCACTAATTTTTTAGAATTAATGATAGTGGTTTTATTCACTGTCAGATTAAATCTATAATGGACACAACTATGCCGCGACGCCTCTGTGCTGGGTTTTTAATTTTTAGTATGTAACAAAAGCTTTAATTGGATATATGTTTTAAAAAAAAATTGACTTTTATGAATAAGTTGCTATTTTAAATCCCCTGCTGTAGACAAGTAGTAAAGGTTTAAATTAAAAAAAAATTTTGTAGAGTGATTTTCATATGTGGTATTGTAGTGTATAATCTATGTTTCAACTAAATTTCAAATATTTAAAACAATTTTCTTAGGATTAAGAGGTCTACACAGTTACACATTTTATAAAAATACACATATTCTAGGTGCATTATTTCTGTTGAGGGACGTATTTTCCAAATTTTATTTTTAGTTATATATCTGCTTAATACACCATAAAAATTTGAAGTTTGAGGAAAAAGTGTTATATGTAAAATTTAGCATTAGAAAATCAGTAAAAATCCGCTCAAAATCAAATAATTTAATAATAATAGTAAGTAAATAATAGTTTTTGTTGTTTATAAATCTTATTTTTGTAATTGTTTTATATATTATTGTATATGTAATATATTACATATACAATATAATTATTCAATTCATTTTTTAGTTGCAAAATAAAAAATTAATTAAATTATTACGATAATATTGTAAAATATTTTAATAAATAACCATGGTTTTATTCTAGTAGTTAGAATATTCTGTCTTCATAAATATCAGTAAATGATATATTAAGGCTACTTGTGCTACTGTTATTAATCGATAAATATCTGTTTTTCCCTATTCCCAAGAATAGATTTACACAATTTAAATCTCATATTATGTGTTTTTTGTTTTGTTGTACTTCTAGGGTGTGTATATTTATGTATTTTAACCCTTTAAAGGAATAAAAGATGGCCGTGAATACACTTCTGGATGATTTGTCATGGATTGACCCAACACAATTTTTGTTTTTAATAGATATATTAGGTATATACCTATTATTTGTTATATATATATACAGGGTGATTCATTAAGGATAAGACACTCGTTTACTCAGTAACTATTGAAAATTTAAGATTTTTGGTAAGGAAAATATTGTTTGATTCAAAAAACACTACAATAATATGTAGTGAAAACATGATATTTTTAAAAAACATTAATTTGAGTTTTTACTCAAGTATATAATTATATATATTTTAATCTGACCTTTAGAATATAAAACATAAAGTTAAATTTATTTGAAATTTTTTGCTTTTTTTAAGTTGAGAAAAATAAACTAATAAAACTAAAAATCCGTTTATGATGGCCAACCGTGTGATGTGAGATTATGTTTTTTTCGGACCCTCTGTAAAAGTTTCCCTTCAAAAATAAATTTTTTTTGAGTTATTGTGTGAATCATATTTAAACAATCACTCTGTATACTATCTAACAACATAAAATGTCTATAATTACTATAAAATATATTCTATTTACCAATATTGAATCCATAAGATATTTATATTATATTAAATTGTTGTTAGTTTTATCTAATGGGGTGAAATATTCTTGATCAAGATAATTTTTTAAAGCTAAGTTTAAATCTAGTTTTTATTTAGGACTGGATTAATGCTGAGTCACAAGAGATATTTTAAGTTAGCCTTTTAATTAAACATCTTTTCAAAAGCAATAAAATTATTTAAAAAAAGGTTGTCTTCTTATATTCATCAGCTCTGAGGCACTTACTTGCCCTGTTAATCTGACTTTGCCTCCATTTCTTTATTAATTAAGATCTTTTCATGAATTTGAATCATTAAGATTATAATTATTGTAAGGTATTAAATAATAATATAAAACATTAACTTACGCAAAATTTTTTTATTTGTAGTAGCTTCAGTAAAATCTAATATATCATCTTCTTTTTCATGTAAATAATTTTCAATTTTTTTATTTTTTTTCCCTGTATTTTTATTTAATTGCTTTTTGTCAAATTTAGGTATCATTATATCATCATGTTCACATTCTGCCAATATTTCTTCAAACCTAATTGATAATTCAAATTAATAAAAATAACTCGTACATTATAATCTGGCATTTATTACGTTTTTGGTTTAGTTTTAAGATTAAAATCAGAATTGATGATATTTTCTTTTTTCCCTTTAAATTTCATCTCCTTTTTTTTTTTTTGATTTCGAATGGATTCCTTGTTCAGTGCCCGCAAACGTACTAATGTTTGATTATCAGAATGTGGTACAAATTTAATAATTAACTCCGGTCCAAATTTACGAATTAATCTTTGATAAATACTTTTAGTTTCTTGACGAAATTTTCTTTTGCAATCATTTGTCATTCTCGATAGAGAGCCTACCTAAAATTAAATTACTGTCACAACCATATCACTACATTAAATAATGTGCAAAAATGAGACGTTAAATTACGATTTTCAATTCAAAAGAATAATTTAGTTTTATCATAATACGACATTTATAACTAAAATAAAATTACTTTAAATTATATTCAATACTGAACACTACCCTGTATATTTATCATACATAGTAAATTTTATAAAAGTTTTTTTATTGTTTTAGCTTTGACGTTGAGAAGATATATTTTTTATGTACAAAAATAGTCTTTACAATTTTGTGACTTAACATATTAATACCCAACCACCATTAATAAAAAAACTCTAGTTATTTGTGTTTATATTGTAATATAAAATCTTAGGTTTATACAATAAATAAATTAAGAATATAATTCATACTATTTTTTTTAATACATAGAATTTTTTAACGATTCTATTTTCAAATTTATGAGATAAGTCAACTTATTTGACCTTGAGTATATATTTTGAATTTCAATTCATAAGATATAAAATTAGGTTTAATAAAAATGACTTTAAACTCATCATAATTCTCCTGTTTAAAATGTTTCGATGTAAAAATTGATAAATTGAAATGTTATTATTCATGAGCACTTCATAAGATTTTACATATGTATCGTTTAAATGTTTAATTGATAAAATAAATATTTTAAAGTTTTATTTGGTAAATTAAAAAATAGTTAAATGTTTATAATTACTAACACAAACATACACATACGAGCCAAAAAATAGTATGTACTTTTAACAATATCCACTTAATCTTATAAGTTTGTTAAACTCAAAATAAATTTAAATTTCATTCTCCCCGAAATTTTGCAAATATCTACTAAATTTACAAAACCCTTTAAAAATGTATTATTATTTAATAATTCAAATTATTACATTTTCTGCTTACTTACTATAGTTAGAAGAAAAGGTAGTATATCATTAGAATATGATGTAATGATTACTTTAAAAAAACTCAAAGCAGACCCAACAACTTCTCTAGTTCCTGTTGTAGCTAGTAAACCTATATTACTAATTATTGTTTCAAGATGATTAGTACTGATTTCACCTAAAACATTATTTAATTAAAACATAATATTGCTACATTACTACAGTGACATACTTTTACAATTATGAAGAACAGAGGCTACTGCAAGAATAGTACAACTTATCATAGGAATAGAACCAGCTAATCCAGCTGATAATGCATTCAAAAAGTTATCCACGCCATTTTCGGTTTTGAATAACAATGAAGCCATTTTATTGATTAATACAAAAGCACATTCACGACAACGTTTGTTTACATTAGCACCTTTACAGCAAAGTACTGCTTCTGGTAAATGAATTACAATACTTTGCATAAGACAATTATCATTAATATGATCCAAAAGATGAAATAAACAACGCAATCGTGGCTAGTGAATAAATATTAATTGTAAGTAATTGGAAACATTTTTTTTTTATCAGAAATACATACTCCTCGACTTGTAGCTGCTACATCTTGTGTTGTAGAAATTATAAAATTTCGTAAGTGTTCATTATTTTTTTTAATAAAAGAATTACATGTTTGTGTTTTTGATGAACAGATATCTTCTAAAATTCTATGAGAAACAATTTTTATTTAATAAAACCCAACTAAATAGTTAAAATTTAAAATACCTAAAATATTTTTTTTCCTCTTTAAAGTTTTTAATTTTCTTAATTTTTGATATTCTTGAGTCGAAAAAAGTTTTTAAAGTTTTTACAGATTGATGTGGAATTAGAACTCTAACAATATCAAGAATACTCTCTAGAACTATAGTTTCTGCATCCTTTGAGTTATCAATCATTTCACAACATTTATTGAATAACTGTTCTTTAAGATCTTTATCGGATAATGTCAGGTACACCTAAATTTAAATTTAGTACAACTTAAAAAATATAAAAAAATAATATATATACTATAGTTATAAGTTAGATTAGCACACATACAAGGTAGAACAAATCTAATTGTGTTACTTTTTCATTTTAATTAAAGGAAAAACAGAAGGGATAATTAATTTATATAACACATCTTTCATAATACTTAATTCTAAAAGTTGTAAAACTACTATATAACGTCAGAATTATAAATAAACCAATTATTGAGAAACAACACAAGTTCAAACTAATAATTCAGTAAAAAGATTAAAAAATTTCAATATTATTCAATCTTTATATTACAGAAATTGAATTCTGAAAATATTTAATACCCAATAATGTCTAAAATAATATTGTTGAGACTCCTATTATTATATATTTTGTGTTTAATGTTAATATACCTTGGTTCTTATTAAAACTAGGAAGTTTTTTAATTGGTTAAGTATAAGAGGTTACTTTTTAAGAGATGCAAGACAGTTAAAACAAAAATTGAGTTTCATAGAAAAGCTAAATATTATTATTAATTTACTTTATTGGTTCAGCAGTATAAGGTGTAAGTGTGTCAATAGTATAAGTAATTTTTGCAGTTAATAATTTATACAATCTTTATTTATTTATTTTTTTTTTTTAAGATAATTTTAATATTAAAATCTTGAAATAATGAAAATTTAAAAATAATTTTTGTTTTAATCAATCAAATTTAATTAAATAAGCATTAAGAAGTTGAATAGATAACTTTTATTTATTTTAAATAGATGACTAAAAAATTATCAATAATTTTAAAATAATTGTTAATTAATTTAATTTTTGAGATTATTGATGTTCATACACTTTTACTATGTTTGCTTACTTTAATAGTTTCTAAGGCAGAAACTCTTGTTGCTTCTTCATCAGTTCCATGTGATGGATTTGTATACAAATTTAAACATATAGGCAAAAAGTTTTTGGCAAAATGACCAAGCTGAATTTTGTCATCTGGATTAGCTGCATCACTTGATGCAAAATCAATGAGCTTTCTTAGGGATAGGAGAATAATATCTCTCAATTCTTTACGATTACTTAAAATTATACCCATTGTTTTAGCTATTTTCTAAGTGACATTTTACAAATCATAATTAGAAAGCATATTAATATTTTAAATTTTTTTAGTGAATAATGAACTTACTTGAAATGATGTTGATATATCTGAAGGATTTGTGCAAAAACTAACCAACAGAGACCATATTTGAGATTCAAGGAGATCAAAACTTATACCAGAAATTTTATCATTAGCTTTTAAAGCACTCTCATACTTTTCTCTAAATTATATTAATTTAATTAAATAAATCAAGCTTTTTTTGAAATAACGTTTCATATTTACCGACAATGAAGTGCTAAAGGTAAAAATTGACCATTAAAACATTCTAAGGTAGAATTTGTTATGCTATCTTTTAAAACAGGTAGTAACCAACTACGCTTAAATTCCCCAACATCATCAATCTGAACAAAAATTGTACATTTAAACAACAATCATATAATAAATTATTAAAAATTTAATTAATTACTATGTAATCAATATCAAAAATAGTTTTAAGAAAAATCAACAGTTTTAACTCTAACACAGTAGAAATGCCACATAGTTAGGACAAGTATAAATTATACCTGAAAGTGATTATATTCACTATTATAAAAAACGCTTCAATGCAAATTTGTATTTTAGTTTTAAATGTGTTTAATTTTAAGAATTGGTGAATTTTTCCAAAAGCAAAATAAATATCTATTTATTTCCTTATTTATATTCTGATTACATATTCTATAATTAAAATTACAATAAANGATTACATATTCTATAATTAAAATTACAATAAATATTTATAAAAGCACAATTAGAAAGAATTGATGAATTTATCCAAAAGCAGCATGAATTCTTATTTCCATAATTATATCTTCATTGCTATAGGTAAATTATACTTTAATAATTTTTAAATATAATACACATTATAGAAATTAATATAACAAATTTTGTATTGTCGACAGGATAAATTAAATTAAAGAATGTTAATTTTCTTCTTCTTTTTTTTATAAATCTGTATTTATATTTTTGATACACGTTTGTCATAGAATAAAATATACAACTACTTTATAATAATCTCAGTGTAAATTAAAATAGAAATTTTGAATATCAATTTTATCTAAATTTAAATTCTATAACATGAATTTATTCATTATACTTGTATATCATCAAAATTTCTTCTAAAAGTTAAATGATATTTACAGAATTTTATAATTTTATTTTTACAATTTTTATAATAGTGATTTTAATAATAACTAAAAAATTGTAAAAAAGTTAATAATAAAATATATCATTTTTATTTCAAAAAAACCCAGCACAAGGGGGTCGCAGCACAGTAGTGACGTGACATAGTTGGATCAAGTATGATATCTGACAGTGATTAAAATCACTATACAAAAAAAAGATTCAATGCAAATCTTTAAATAGTGTTTAATTTTAAAAAATTTGTGGATTATTTCAAAAGCTATATGATCTATTATTTCCTTATTAATATCCTGATTAAGATAAAGTATGTCAAATGAAAAAGGGATTATTAAGGGGAAAATATTATTCCTCATAAAAATATTGTGTTGATCCATACACTTTTCAATAAGTTATATAGTAAAAAATGTAAAATATAAAATCGAGAATTTTCATACAAAAATAGCATTGGGTAGCCATTTTCACCACGAAGACAAGTCCAGAGGTCAAATTTTTTTTTCCATAATAAAGAACATTACATTAGCTTTAATTTAAGATATATATAAAAGTGTCAGACCTTCCGGAACACTTTAAAAAATTAATTTTTTGTGAAAAAGTTGTCATTTTAAATCCCCCCTGTGGGCAGGTAAAGGGTTAAATGTATGAAAAAAATATACCAAATGATAGGTAAAGACATCAAGCATTTATAGAAAAAAAATTATATTGATATGTTCATTTTTGAAAAAGTTATGGCAGTTTTTAGTAAAAAAAAATTGAAAAAATGTCAAAAATTAGCGATTTTTAAATTTGTAATTTTTTTGGAGGTTTCCCCCATTTACGGGGAACGAAGGAAATTTTTTTCAATTTTTGAGAGTAATATCTTCCGCTAGATACGATTTGTGATCTTTTGACATATCGTTAAAAGAAATCCGTTTGGTGAGAGCTGAGAAAAAATGGTAACAGACACAAAAAAAATAAAACACATCATAGTAAAACCAATACCTTCTCAGCTTCGCATCGAAGCTAAAATGATTTTTAGTTTCACCTGAATTTAACGATGTGTTTTTACAACTATAGTCAAATTTTATAATATGCTCATTTGAGTAAATCTTTTTGACGACTTTTTTTTATTAGTTTTTTAGTTTCTATGCGAAATTGAGAAGGTATTAATTTTACCATGATGTGTTTTTTTTTATGTCACTTTTTCTCAGCTCTCACTGGACCGATTTCTTTCAATGATACGTCTAAAAGTTGATTTTTGTAAAAACGTTTCTATTTTGACCCCCTGAGACAGTTTAAGTATTAGATTTTCAAAAAAATGTTATTAAATGTTAAGGAAATATCTTAAGTTAAATATCATAGTAAAACCAATACCTTCTTAGCTTCGCATCGAAGCTAAAAATCGGTTCAGAGTAAAAGTAGTAAAAAACACACACACAAAAAATAAATAAATAATTGTATCATAATACAATCAATATCTTCTTTACTTTACAAAGTTATAAATTATAATTATAGTATAAATAAATTAAAAAAATAGTTCATAAACAAACCTTTAATGGTATCACTTTTTCAGAAATTATATATTCAGGCCCTATGTATTTAATAGCAGCTCCTACAGTTAATTCGAGTTCATTAACAAATTGAGTCTCATTAGAATCTCTTAGTTGGCCTAATAACTTTACACATTCTAGAAATATTCTTGGTTCACACTTGCCATAAACCTTAGGAAATAAAATAAAAATATTAAATTATGTAGTAATATAAAATAGTTATAATTGAAATTTACTTTAAAAAAAGTTGATATTGTATGCAACACTTGAGAACAAGCATTTTTGTAGTGATATGATAAGCACTGCATGATTAAATTAAATAATACAGACACAGAGTTGGTATAACTAGATTCAGTAGCCAAACCTATACAATCTTCAACAAGTACACGTAATGTAGATCCAGTAGCTTTTAATGATTCAGGACTACCATTATTCCATAATTCAATACATAATTTAAACATTTTTTTTAAGTTAGAAATACATAACAACAAATCACTCCTAAAATAATTAATAAATTTCATGAAATTTGATTAATTTATTAGTTTTGATTATAAATTATTATAAACAGTTATTTTAAATACATTGTTTTACTATACAAGTTTTGTTTCCTATGTCAATATTAATTATTTTAAAAATTTAAGGAACTATATATAGACAATATTTTTGACATGATTTTTAATAAAAGTTATAAAATAGTTAATAAGAAGTTTTACAAATAAAACATTTATAATAAATGATATTTAATGAAGATAAGACGCTCGTTTTTCAGATTTATATTTTAAATTTTTGTAGAGAAAAAATATTTAGTTAAAAAAAAAAACTTTATAAGTACCCAAATAAATTTTTTTTAACTGAAGTTACAAAAAAAAACTTCACATTAATTTTCTTAAATGTAAGTCACTATTTTTAATTTAATAATATCAATATGCGCAACAAATAAGACAACAACTCACTCTTTAGGATATCGAAAATAAAAATTACTCTCTAGTTACTTGTTATATGTTTACCAATTTTCTTAGTAGTTTAATTCCAAATCAATCCAAATTGTCAATATTTTGATGAAAATTATTAAAAGAAGAGTAAAAACTAAATTCAAATACCTCATAATTTCAAAATGGATTTTTTTAAGTTACTGCTTTATTTGTTAGCGATATAATAAAAGAAAATTCTTAACAGTTTCTGAAATAATAAGCGTTTTATCCTTCATTGATCACCTGTGTTATTATTATTATTATAATATATTTACAGTTACAAATAACTATAATAGAGGGGACTTGAAATTGCTAACAAACCAAACATCAGTGAATTAATATAAGAACACTAGAGGCATCAATCTCATTAAAGTTAATTTTCTATTTTGTTTATTTGAGTATTAAGACACACATAATAAATTATTTCATAACTGAACAATTTTTTTTTATAATTTTTTATTTGAAATAGGTGGATTTTTTTTGTATGTGGTAAAAAAAATGTTTGGAAGCTACTGCTTTGAAAAATGAAAAATAAAATTTCATATTTAAACTATACATAACTTGAAACAAATATTTGATAAAATACATTTTCTTGTAAAAAAAAAAAACAAATATTAATTAAATTCACAATTCTACTTATGTTATACTAACACATATATTTTCAGGTATCTAGAACCTTATTTAGGGAGAGCACCGTAATATGTTTTATCGTGATAGGAACGCTAAGAAATATTTTTTACAAAAAATATTAAATATAAGACAATTAAAAAAAAAAAAAAAAAAACAATAATTTAATTTACAATAAATTAATTTCTAATATTCTTAAAGTATTTATTGTAGAATTGGATTTGATATGATAAAAGTATTCAACTACAAAAGTAAATAATTTTACTTTGTAATATATATTAATTTTTTAACTTTGTGTGTGCTACTACCAGTCTATAATATTCCANACATACTTTGTCTTAATCAGGATATTAATAAGGAACTAGCAGTTTATGAAGCTTTTGGAATAATCCACCAATTTTTTAAAATTAAACACTATCTAAAGATTTGCATCGAAGCGTTTTTTTTTGATAGTGATTTTAATCACTGTCAGATATCATTATACTTGATCCAACTATGCCACGTCACCACTGTGCCGCGACCCCCCTGTGCTGGGTTTTTTTTAGATATATAATCATTAAAATTAATTCAATTCCGAATATTTCCATTGTAGAATCTTTTTATACACCAAAAGTTAATTAGAAATTATTACTATGATTTTTGTTTAAGTGATCTATTTCGATAAAAATGTAAAAAAAATTGAAATTTTCTGATAAATGTACTGTAAATAATAATTATAAAATTTCCTGATTGCATATTAATCTTAACAATTTAATTTTTTTCTATTTAATAATGTCAATTTCAAACTTGCAAGTTGAGCTACAAGTTATGGTAATAAATTCATTTTCTTTTTTATTAAAACTTTTACTTTAAACGACAAAAAAAAGTAGGTTCAAAATTATTACTTTTAATATATTAAAAATCAAAATAAATAATAATTTGAAAACAATTAATTTCAAAAATTATATACTATATAATTAAAAGAATTACTAATCTGGGTATAATTAAGGAAATAGAAGTTGATGTTGCTTTTGGAATAATTCATCAATTTTTTAAAATTAAACACTATCTACAGATTTGCATCGAAGCGTTTCTTATGATAGTGATTTTAATTACTGTCAAATTAAATCTATACTGGACCCAACTATGCAACATCCCCACAATGCCGCGATCTTACTGGGCTGGATTTTTTTTTTTTAACTTTTAGTACATATAAGCTTTATTTTAACATATATTTAAAAGACATAGTATTCCTGGAATATTTTCATAAGTTAAGTTGAAAAAGTTAAATTTTTGTGCTGAAGTGGCTATTTTGAATACCCCCTGTGAGTAAGTAAGGGTCAGATTTTCAAAAATATTATATCTAATCAAAGGGAAATATTTAAGGTTTCAATATAAAAAAGATTTATTTTTATTCATTCATTTTTCAATAGTTATGCCAATTTTTAGAAAAAAAAACGGTAGCACAGTGGGGTTGTGGCATAGTTGGGTCCAGTATAGATGATATCTGACAGTGATTAAAATCACTATCATAAAAAACGCTTCGATGCAAATCTGTATAGTGTTTGATTTAAAAAAAAAATTTGTTAAAATAGCATATTTTTGAATATGGTAGCCATTTGCGCATAGAAGATAGGTCGTCGGGACAAATTTTTTTTTTCATTTTATAGTACATAAAATAAGCTTTAATTTGATATATGTTTAAAGGACGCAGTATTTCCGGAACATTTTCAAAAATTCAGTTGAAAAAGATCTATGTTTTTTACAATATTTTAAGTTTTGAACGCCCCCTATATAAGGGGAAATTGTCCAATTTTAATAAAAAGTATGTCAAATGAAAGATGTACTTATAATGTATTTAGAAAAAAAAAATTTGTGCTGATATATACATTTTTCAAAAAGTTATAGCATTTTTAAGTTGAAAATTTAAAATCGAAAATCGAAAATTTTAACACAAAAATAGTGTTTTTTTAACTACGGCAGCCGTTTAAATGTAGAAAAAAAAGTGTCGGGACAAATTTTTTTTTTTCATTTTGTAGTACATAAAATAAGCTTTAATTTGATATATGTTTAAAGGACGCAGTATTTCCGGAACATTTTCAAAAATTAAGTTGAAAAAATTAATTTTTGTAAAAAAGTTGCCATTTTAAATCCCCCCCAATGAGCAGGTTAAGTGATAGATTTTCAAAAAAATGATATCAAATGAAAGGTAAATATCTAAGGTTTTAGTATAAAAAAAAATTATGTTGATTTGTTGATTTTTCAAAAAGTTATGGAAGTTTTAAGAAAAAAAAGTGAAAAAATTTCGAAAATTAGCGATTTTTAAATTTGTAATTTTTTTGGATATTTCCCCCATTTGCGGGGAACGAGGGAATTTTTTTCAATTTTTAAGGGTAATGTCTTCAGCTAGATACGATTTGTGATCTTTTGACATATCGTTGAAAGAAATCCGTTTGGTGAGAGCTGAGAAAAAGTGGTAACAGACACAAAAAAAATAATACACATCATAGTAAAACCAATACCTTCTCAGCTTCGCATCGAAGCTAAAA